CCATTTCTGCCTTCTGCCATGTCACCTCCATCGTGATACATAAATCTGCTTCTGCTACCACCGCCTCTATCTCACCTTCTATAGCTCAGTCAGCGTAACTTGCAGTTTTGGAGGCTTTAGCTGCGATGCTGTGACGGGAGGATGCTCTGGAAGGACGGCGAGACCCAGCAGCAGAGAATTAGCGTGAGGCACTGGAACTTGCTTGCAATCTAGCTGGTTTAGGATGGAGGGAGGAGGCTTTCTTAGAATAGTGGGAAGAAGCTGCTTGTGATTGAAAACCTATGTCGGATGTGGCCCTGTCCCTTGATACTTGTTTTCTCTGTAGTGCATTGTAGAATGCGGCCTGGAGGGAGTTTTTTCCTTCTTGAACGCAGTCTTCGCATTCCTTGTGAAACTCCTTGAAACATTGGATGTGTGCTTGGAGTTTTGGGTCACACAGTCTTGACTGGATGGACTTGAATTTATCTTTGCTAGTTCTCCACCTTGTGAGAAGGGCATCTAGATCATCTAGCAATGTGCGGATTATCTCTGGGGACAGCTTGCATTTGGGGGGTTCACAGATCTCCTCTAGCTCCAACCATGAGTCTGCATAGTGGCAATATTGCCTCTCCCAATCCTCTCTCAAGTGTGCCACCATGGGTTCTGTAAGCTTCCTATTCTTTCTGAGGTCATAGCCAGCTGCTTCTCCCAAGTTGTGGACTTCCGATTCTGGGTTTAGGGAACCAGGCTCCATGTTTACATCAAGGTGGGTGGAGGGTTTGAGTCCTCTGGTACATCAGAGACATCTGTCGTGGCTGAAGACGTTTCCATGCTTCAAATTGGCAAAAGGTGAATTTGGAAAATTTAGTGGTTTTCTGTGCACTTCCCTTTTTCCACTAGGGTGTGCTGCGAGCAGGTAACCGAATGTAACAACTTCTGCTAAATTCAGTACTTGAGCACATAGGTGGTGTTGTAGATTTGTGGCTGAATTGAGCAAGTTCTGCAAATTTCAGTGGTTGACCACTAGAGATGTGTGTTGCAAGATCTGGGATATGCTGACAAAGTACACAATTTGGCCGCTGTAAGATGCATTGCAAAGTCTGGGAGACACTGTTGCTAAGCACAGATTGGGCTGCAGATGGTGCTGGATTAAGTCAGATAAAATAGAATTTTCCTATGAAATTCATTGGTTTAACACTGGCTAAAATTAGGAAACCTCCTGTAAATTCATTACTTGCCACGAAAAAAAAATGTTTTGAAATTCTCTGTGAAATTTCTACTTGACCACCAGATGGTGCTATAGGCTGGCATTAGACTGGAAAGAAAAGTCATTAAAAATGTGGAATACTTTAATTCATTGCATGAACACTGTGGTTAGATAATTTCTGTTAGCTAAGTAATGTAGACTGATATCCTTTAATTTTATAGATAGCTTTTTAAATCCAGAAGAAAGAACGAATCCTTTGGAGTGTACCTGGAAGGATGAATGGCAAACTGTAATTCTCTTTAAAACTCTGTCTTCAAAGAAAAAAAAGGGGGGGGGATTACAGCCCATTTCTATGGAGATGGCTAGCTGCTAGGTATTTTTATGAGCCACTTCCTCTTGACAAAGTAGGCTTAGAGACCTCTCACACCTGCATTTCTAAGAGCTTGAACACAATGGCTATCTACTTCACTAGAAGTCCGTTTCTATGGAGATGAGGAATTTTGATAGCCCTCTTCCTGTGAACTTTCCTCATTCCTTTGTGGTTAATGGAAATATTGGCTTCTTGCCTCAATTCCTTCTCCTTTTGCAAACAGACGTTGATTCAGCAAATTCAAACTATTTTTTAAACTTTGGTCAGATGAAAACAGTCCATGCCTCACTCAAATTCTCTCATTACTTTGGTCAACAATGGGAAGATGCAAATTAAGCCACAGAATAGGAAGTTTGAAAGTCTCTTGAGAAAAAGGAGAAGGGGTGGATTTGCCCCTCCCTGCCAATTCACACTGGCTTTGAAAGTTTGTTGTTTCAAAGGAGAACAAGGCACAGAGAGCTTAGCATTCCACATTCACTCCTGGCTTCAATATATCTTTGTTTTTATCACAGGAAATCAAATTGCTATTAATCTTCACAGGGATTCTGATATAACAAGAATTCTTTACTTTTAGGAGTCCAAATTAACTCTTTTTATTGAGGGATTGCAGGAATTCAGATAGATCTACATATGATTTTAATATTCTGTCCTTTGATTCACTTGCTGAATATAAAGACAGATAACTCTACAAATTCTTCCATACAAAGTTTCTTTTATTGAATTATATTAGGTATCCTCAAGGTAACTCAAAGTTACGTTGAGATGCATCTAATGTCCAATTCTTTGCATAGTTGATATCATAGTGTAAAATGATAGTAATCTTTTCCCCTATTTCATCCCATAGTAGTAGAGCCAAAGGAGAAGAGCTAGCCCGAAGCTAGGGTTCGAGCAAGAGTGAAGAAACCTCCCCCAACCCACCAAGGATCCATTCAGTGACCAATCAGGATTACAGATGTGGCCACATGACATGAACTACATTTCCCAGGATACCTTAACTACAGTGATGCATTCCCTTAAGGGGACAGCTCCCAATTCCTAACTAACTATACCTGGCTGGACAGCACATGGCCATTCCCCAAGATGCCACAGCCCCAGCAGTAACCGCTACGCAGCTTGGGAAAGACGCGGCGGTCCGGGTCGTTTTGGGTTGTGGAGGTCGTGGCAGTGGTCCGGAGGCCATCATCAGCGAAGCATCTCCCCGACCCCTCTGAATGGCAGCCTGTGTACTGCGCTGGGATGACAGAGATCTATACAACTCTTAGATACAATTGGCACCAACAGCAATAGCAAGTTTGCCAAAACGAAATATGTCCATCCAGTTCAGACATCCAGAAAGGATTAGTTGAAGATTCCCCCAAGAGGTACATTGGGCATCAACAATGGGGTAGCCCTTCCCCATGATGTTCCCCCAACCCATAGATAATTTTTCTTGCATTTTCAGAAGCAAGTAAAATCTATCCAATACACAATTCAAACACACTGTAGGAATTTTTATTTGTAGTCTGCAATTATGGGTCGACCGCCCATATGTGTGTGTGTGTGTGTGTGTGTGTTGTGCTATTATTCACCAATCAGAGATTGACAAGATTTTCCTATTAAGATTTTTTTTAATTTCATTTTTATTTTATAAAATAACATGAGTAACATATATAATGCTCCTTCCTCTTCTCAATTACCCCACATAAATAACCCTGTGAGGTGGGTTGGAATGAGGGATTAACTGGTCCAAAGTCACACAGCTGGTTTTCGTGCATAAACTGGGACTAGAACTGAAGTCTCCTGGTTTCTAGCCAAGCTCCTTAACCACTTCATCATTATAAGCATCTGTGTTAAATAAATATGCCAGAAATATGTAAGAAAAGCATTCCCCTTTTTGTACTTAATATAGATGAGTACATCATTAAAAATTGCTGCTATTTCTGAAAGCAAACTGTCATATTTTCGTGTTAAATCTCAAGAAAACTTTCCCTAAGATTATAATTTTTTTGTTCCCCCTTCCCCCAATCATAGCTTCTGTTGCAGTAACTTTGGAATGTTAATGCTGACATTTGACAGTGTTAAGTGGTCAAATTGTGCCACTGATGCAGAATTGTGTTTGTTCAGATCCCCAGAGGATGAATATATTTGTTTATCATATAACTGCATGTAAAAGTTGCAAGAACAACCCCTAAGTCTAAATAAGATTTCTGCTTTTAAGGGAATGTACTGATAGCTGAGCTGCAAATCATTTTTATACAACATGGTGAAGAACCTTAGGAAGTGAGGGCAAACACGATGACATTTTAAAACTTTCCACACTATTCGTTTTTGTTTATATCAAAACTTTCCCACACAAGTTCAATTTACACATTTTTCCATAACAGTAACCCTAAGTGATGAACCAAAACAGGTTATGGCTGATTCCTGAACTTCCAGGCCCTAGTCAGGCATTTTAAAATCACTGCACAGGTGGATCTCAAAAATGGACCCATCTTTTCACTAATGTAACATTAAATCTAAAGTATAGAGTTCTGATTAAAGAAACCACAAATTATAGAGGTTTATTTATTTTTTTCACTGATGTTTCTCAGCAACTAGTTTTCAGAGAAATGCTGCCAGCAGCAATTGATCTAATGGGCACCTCTATTCTTTTTGTATTTAATTCCTTATACAATGGTTTAAGGTAGTCTCTATTAATCTGCTCCAAATCCTATATCATTCAGAGTCATATAATAATCTTCAGTTCTAGCATTGTGAGAAACAGAAAAATTGTTACCTGCTTTTTCACTATTCAGTATACAGCAACATGTAACACGTTTTTATCGTTTAAGAAAAATGATTAAAAATAACATTTTAAATTTAATTATTCATGTCCCTGGTCATTTTAATTCTTTTTTTCTGCATCTTTTCCAGATCTAAAGTGAGGCCCTATTATTAGAATGGAACACAGTATTTTAAATGCAATCACACTACAGACTTGTGCAAGATTATTATAGTAATGCATTTTTTATTCAGTTGCTTCCCTAAATGTATGTACCTCAATGAATTATTAACTATTCCCATTTATATCGAAATAAATCTACAGTCTTGAAAGGTTATACACATTTGCAAGAAATAGAAGGTTCTATAAAACAGTAGATTTTTCTAATAAATGCATGCTTAAACAAAAACATTCATGAAGAAACAACTGTACTGATTTGTTACAACACTATACACTAAGGAAATTATATGAATTGATACAAAGAGTAACATTTTAGTTACAGTATTTTATCTGAGGATACATATTTTTCATGTTACAAAAGTTTTCAGATTTTAAATCAGTCCCATCAGATAGCAGCCCTGGTTGTACAATGGTCTCCAACACTATTGACAAGAATCCTGAGATCTGGAGCAGCGTTCAAAGGGGCACAATACTGTATGGAAGTGCCCCCAGTGCAAACAACATTAAACCACTTCCATGCTTTCTTCCCTCCTATATCATTTCTGCCTTCTGCTTCTTGTTTGTGGTAACTGAGCTTTGTCACATATGATTAATTCAAATGAAGAAGTTAAGAGAACAGTGTGTAGAACAATTTTTGTCAGGTGAGCTATCCTTTCCATAATTTTCAAAAAGAATTATTTGTTTTTATTTTTGAGTGAAACCACATTACCTAGTTTCATCAAAATTATATAACATTTACATGCAGAATTATTTTATTAGAAGATAATATTTATTGCAAGGTCCGTGATCTCCAAGATACAAAAGTAAAGTAGGTATTTCCACCATAGCAGGAAGCAACAACGAAAGCAAAGAACTGCATGGGGGAGGGGGACAGGAGGCGAGAGAGACAAAATTATTAGAAAACAGTAAAAATCTTCAGCCAGATTTTTATTTATATTCAAATCAAATATAATAGAAGGGATAATACAAAAAAAATAAATTTAAAATCACATTGTTTCCATACTCAGCAGGACACTAAATTCTGTGGAAGAAATATTATTGGGCTTTAATGTTATTCATAGTAAGGATGATCCTTGCAAGAAGCAATTCCACATTGACATTAGTGAAAACAAGTGATTTTTGATTGCTGTTGACTAGAGATTAATAAGTAGTTACATAATGCTTCTTTACTGTATTAATATGTATTCAATAAGTTTGCTTCCATGGTGCTTTATTCTATAAAAGTGCACAAAATTAATAGCACTGCAAATGTTCATTTGTAAGGGAAAAGGAAATAAACATGTATTAAATGGTCTTGTTGATCTGGCCATTAGCACATGCTAGGTGAAAAAAACAGGACTTAAGTAATACTTTTAACAAAAGTTTACACATTTAAGAATGTCTAATTATAATTGGTTATCTTGAATCTTCTTATATCTGATTTTAGAGGTAAATGAACCAAAGCAAAAACACATTCTTCCCTCACTGCTATATTAAGTTTAAATGTGATCTTACCGAAGATATTGCCCAACTATTGTAATTGTGGTAGTCAGGTTCTTTGGTGACTGCACATGCTTCGGAAATAGCAGCAATTAAGTACAAGAGAAGGGCACTGCCATTAAAATACAGACCCTGCAGAATGTAGGGGGGAAAAAAGATCAGCATACCTCCTCCCTACTAACATCATTCTATGCACAATTGTATCATTTCCTAATTTAAGACAGTCTGGCTGGACATGAAGGAGATTTATTCCCTCATATGTAGAGCATCAAGTTGGGGAGAAAGCCACTGCAGTTAAATATTGTCTGAATTAATACCTTAGGGAACATAATTTCTCAAAGTAGGTTGCTGGTGAGAAAAGTCTCCAACCTACTGATTAAAAAGGAAGAGGAAAACCTCCTAAATAAGATTTACAAGCTGTACCCTTCCCATTATTGTGTACACAGCTTCATGTGATACCAGGATGGCCTAAGACACTGGTGATTGCAACAAAACAGTCAAACAGTAACCCTCATAGTTGAGTCAAGAGCTGGCTAAAACAATTATAGGTTTCTGGCAGGGCTGATGATCACAATGGCTGTGATAAGTCAACCTGAATGAGGCAGAAGGTATATGTGTTCAGACTAGTGATCTCAATTTTTCTGTGTATATATCCTGCTTCAGCCAGCTCCTTGACAGTGATTTTGAGTGAATAATAATCGATTGTGGCATACAAAACAGTGGATCAAATTCAAGTATGCTGCCTTTCAACCCACTACTGCCAGGGAAATTATAGACTAATTTATCAGAAAAGGCAAGCTTCTTGCAGATATTCTTTTGGTGGTTAATACATGGGAAAATATTAATCTCCATTTAACTAATATTTCCTTGTCAAACCAATATGTACATTTAAAAAAAAAATGGCTCAGGTGGTATGGAGTTTTCATAAAATGATGCTATGCTAGCAGAACGTTTGACATAAGTTGCTCAAGCAAATAAAAGATGCTTGGAATTCTCCCTGCAAAATTGGGAAATACAGTTTCATTTAGAATATGTTATGCCGTTTCTTAAGGGAACTGCATAAGGTTCTGCATCCATCTCCTTAATCTAACAAAGCCAAGCCAAATATTATGGCTTCATCCACTACCCTTGTTCTGGGAAGGCTGCTATAGATAGGTCTCTCTTTTCTGCAATATTTGAGTTGCTTGTAAAAAAAATGAACAAATACTCACAACTGTGGTCCATGGCACTTGAGGTATCCTCGTATAGGTCATTGTCATATAGATGATCAAAAAAAAGAGTGTAAGAATCCAGTAAAATATAGCCACAAACATTATCCATCCAAAGACAGGGTACAGAAAATAGTCAGTTCCAATAATCAACATCCACACTAGCAAGCCTAATACCTACAAATATATGAAAAGAATATTATTGTGGTATGCAAAGTAAAACATCTAAGAATTGTTTTAAAAACTTTAATGATTCCAGAATATGAATTTTCAGGTTTAATTTTTCTTTTTTCTTCTTGCTCCATTTAAAAAAACTCATCAAATAAGATACAGCATAGAGTGATCTTAGCTGATCATGAAAACACTAAGCCAGTGGTCACCAACCAGTGGGCTGGGGACCACTGGTGGACTGCGAGAAAATTTTGGTGATCCACAGAAAAATGTCACCAATTAATCCAGGCTGCACAGGAACACAAGGCTTGCATCACTTGCATTGAGAACAACACATGGTAGTGAGGGAAGAGGGGAAAGGGCGGAGGGGGGGGGGACTTGCTCCACGTGCCTGGCCACCAGGCTGTTTCTTTCTTCTGCTTTTGGCCGCACACAAGGAAAGCAGCAAAAGTCTTTCTTTCTCTCCCCCAAATTCCGCCAGAAATGAGTCTTTGGGACTCTGCAAGGCATCCTGCTCCAAGAGGCTGTGCCAGCACAACAAGTCTCACAAAGGCTCATTTCTGGCGGAGTTTGGGAGAGAGAAAGACTTCTGCTGCTTTCTTTGCATGAAGCCAAAAGTCTCTCTCTCTCTTCCCCCCTGAAAACAGAGCTGGAGACAGTATCCTGCGATCCCAAATAAAGAATGATCAATTGGTAGGAAAACGGGGTGGGGAATTTTCCTGGCAGACTTTTTGGGGAATTTTCCCAGAGTCTCTGGTCTGTGGGATTTAAAATTATGAGTTTGTTGGTCCCTGAGGTCCAAAAGGTTGGCAACCCCTGTACTAAACAGAATTGGACTTGAGTAGATTACAGCTTGACTACAAATTCAGACAGAATAGCAATCGCAGCCACTGGAGGTCACCACTGATCCACAAAGAGATTTGTTTTGTATCACTAATTTCTAAAATACCTTTTGATTAAATTGAGTTAATGTTTTAATTTCTGTGCTGTATATAACAGCAATTAGGTTATTTAATATTTTAAGCATTATTGCATAGTTTTCTGTCCAAAATTATAAATAATATTGGACATAAAATAATTTTTCTATTTTTCTATTTAATCCATAACAATGCACAGTTTGAAGTATAGTCCCAAACACATATGGCTACAATTGTTTTTCTCCATTTAATATCCGTGAGTTCAGTCAATTTAGTGATTGAGATCAGTATGTTTACCTTCTAAAATGCTAAGTTTATTAATCCAATCATGCTTGTAATTCTGGTTCTCTGCAACATTATCACTTGGAACTTCTAAATTAAAGTTAGGAAAGCAGATCTACCTTGCTAATAATAAACTTTTTTTTTATTTAACCAGACTTTAACAGCACAGGTCCACACCTACTAATTATTTAAACTCTCATCTATAGAAAAAGGCTATAGAAAATTAAGACCGTCAGAATAACATAATTTTGTGATTGATTTATATCACTTCTTTTATTAAAAGCTTAGTTGATATTCTCTATGCATTAAATGAAACTAACTGCAATCACAAAGGGTGTATTAATGTATTAAAATATCACAGTAGTTTTTGCTATGCTAATGGATAGCATAAAGGACTGAGTAGTAGTCTTAAGGTTTTAGTTCTGCTGTCTGATTCTCATCAGTGGCAGAACACCCAGATAATATCACTTTAGGCATGGTGTGAGGTCTGACACACTGTTCATTTATTTTGGTCACAGTGTTGAGATACAATGGAGTAAGAGAGGGTTGTCATTTTCAGCTTGCTCAGGAAAATGGAGGACCACATTTCACTGAGCCTGACAAACTTCAAAATAATATTACATATTTCTTAATTAGAATTTAAAAGATCAGGTTGGATAATCTTGGATAAATTATGTCCAATCCATAGCTGTGAATAGGTAGGTATTACAGTGAACAGATTTCCACAGAGTTTAAATGTCTGTTGCAAATTGATTTAAGATTCACAGGCCCAGCCAACTTAGGAAATATATTAGGCTCTAATATCACAGATATCTAGGACAAACAATAGAACAATCCTTTCATTCTTAGCCACCACTTGGTAGGTATGTTGAAGAACTACCTACCACAATTATGTAAGTGTATCTCATAATAACCTAGTTGTTCTTTCTGTTGCAAGCACATGGTTGCTTTGATAGTTTATGGAATCTATTCAGTTTCTTATTGTAATCTTGTCTTTCATTGCAAGAAAGAAAAGGAAGCATGTACAGAGGTTATTGCCTGGAATTCACAAAGAAGTAGCCTTAAACCATACTAATGTGGTTTTGAATTATGTAAAAGAAATAAAAAAAAACTTAAGAATCATTTGCAGACAATAAAATGCTTCCAAGCTGGGTAGCTTTGGCAAATGCTGCAGAAAATCCCGGAGAATTTTTCAGAAGTGACCCTCCTGCAGTCTTTGGTTGTGCTATGCAGGCTTTCTGCTGGTGGACACTAAACATGTCTAATATGAAAACCATTCCAGACTATTTGCCCAAAGTGTAACACACATAAAGATCTCACAGACAAGGTGGATCTGGTAACAGTCCCACATGAAATTATGGAGTCTGATGAAACTTGGAGTCTCCCTCACATGTTGAAGATCTTTCAGGCTGGGTAGCTCCACCATGTATTGAGGGGCAATCAGACAGACCCAAGTTCAAAGAACAGCAATTAGGCTACCACACAAGAAATAAGCAAAAGTGTAAGTCAGGTCTAGCCCTGTTGAAGCCAGCAGTACACTGCCAAATTAAAGCACAATTAATAGACTCCTAAAAATTTAAGACTTTAGCTAGCTCCCGTTAGTTTATAAGAACACAGCATATTGTGGGAAACCACATATTCTGTTTGTTCAATGAGCCATGTGCCTACTTAAGCTCTACATAGTTAAGCACCCTCTTAGCTTAACTAACTTACTGCTGACAAACAATTACTCCTAAGGAACTTGGCACTTCAGCATTCAGACCACTTCATCATTCTCTCCCCTTTGCTCTGGTTTAGATTGCAGCAGCATGGATGAAAAGATTCTGGATCAAGAAGTTTACTGTGGGCATCTGAGTTCGACTTTTTTATTCTAAGTTGTGTGTCATTGACAAATATTTAAAATATGGGCTTCGGATAAACCTAGGTAGAAAATTTGGAAGAACTGAGAGCTGCAGTAGGCAGGTTACGATGCACAATGGACAGGTCTTCCACATAGATACATTTCTTTTTCCAAGTTTTGGGAAGAGTTGAATGTTTTATTTTTAAAATCTGGGCTAACTTTACTTAACAGCTTATGAGATAGCTTTTGTATTTTAAGCCTTTAAAAGGCAGATGGGAAAAGCTCCATAAATATTTCCCTTGGAATTGAAAGTTCAATGCAATTTTCAGGTGGAAAATTAGCCCCTGGTTGTGAAAACATTTTAAGTTAAGAGTAAATACTGCAGTATCTCCAACTGCATTTCTAATGGCAATGTTATTTGCTTAGTCAATGCAATGCCTGAATAATCCATACAAGACCCTTATTGTTGCTGTCATTGTTAAAGAATGCTAAACAATGGCTGACTTCTTGACCAAAACTCTTATTTACATAAGCCAGTCTGTTTAAAGAATTTCTAACTGCTTCAAAAGAACAATGCTGTATATAGCTTCTTTGTTCATAAAGGCAGGTTTTGTTGCTTTAAAATCTCCATCTTCCTGTTATGGTTGTACTCCCTCTATTTATATATAGCAGCAACATTGTTCTGTGAATCTTTTTTTTCAATATAGGAAACTGTCTTCCTAATTCAAATAACAAATGAAAATTGCAATGGCTCCTATTATAATAAAATGTTACTTTCTCAAAGAAAGATCGAGATTGGACAAGGCAAATCAAGTTCTCTTATGGGATGCAGCAATTTAAAAATAATTTTGAATTTTATTTCCTATGTTCCTACTTTTCTGCAATAGCATGATTTTGACTGGAGGAACAAACCTTTTATGAATGCTTATGAATTATTGTAGAGAATTTTCAGATACTATAAGCAAAACAATAAAAAATATGGAAAAAATTTCCAAGTTCATGTATTCATGAAATGAAAAATATTGTTGAGTCACAGGAAGGGCCCAGTTATTAAATGTCAAAAGACAGAGTATTTTGAAGATAACCACATATATTTAAACAGTGCATTGTAAACAAATCCCAATTGCATTTTTCTCATATATTCAGGCATTTCCAAACAAATAGATTTGTTTCACACTAACTTATAATTTAGCATGATGGGTCAATCCAGTCCTTATTCTATAACTTGTAATTAAAACAAGAAAGCAGCTTGACATGTGAACCAGCCAATGGCAAGGTTGGTGTTGAGAAAATGCATAAAATGTCCAATACCTTCCTGTTAGTCTACTTGTTGGCATCTCCAACTTGGTGACATCAAGTTCTGTTAGACTGCAATTATTATAACTTCCATCTTTAGCAGATACCAAATAAAAAGAAAGTTGAAAAGCTGGTCATGAAAAAACTGAGCAACTCCTTGTGTAAAACAACATTGCTTTATAGAGTTATGTGAGAAGAATCAATATTCAGTCCACATAATTCATTAAATGCATGTGGGTAGATTATTCTTTTTTAACCAAATTCACCCACTTCGTAGTTATTGTAGGCACAAAATTAGAGGAGATCCTAGGTATTGCCCTTTAAGCTTTCAAGAGAGAAGACAGGAAATAACTATAGTAAACAATGATACAAATTGATAGCAGGCATGAAAATAATCAGCTAAGGGGGGGCTTCCTGTTTTAGTCAGCTTTGCTAACATGCATTAAACAATTAAAAGGCAGTTGAGTTTAGTCATATAAGTTTTCCACTGGACCACAAAGATCTCATTAGAACAGCAATGACAGATCAGGCCTAGTTATATCAGTCCAATTATTATAAATCTAATAATCATGATCATGTTTTATTTATGCAATATTGAGCTAATTAGTGACGTCAATAAGTTGACATCAAAACTGATTTAAATGGTACTAGAATAGATGCTCAAACTACTTTGTGAGCTTATGAAAATGAATATTCTAGAATTTCAGTCTACTTTTTGAATACAGCTGGCTAGGAGAAGGCAATCTCCAAAGTCCATATACTTACGTCTGCACTATTTCACTGATCATACAAGAAAACATTTCAGTGGTACATTTAATACAAAATTTTGTTAGCAAGAATAAAAGCCAATGTGCTATTAAAATAGAATATTTTACATCAATACAAGTACATATCATAAATTAGCATTAGAATTTAGTACAAAATTTTAAAAATGTTCCATCATTTCTCTAAAATGAGAACTAACACTGATACATAAAAAACATTTCTAGTTGTCAATGTAGGAAGTTTATCCAATAGGAAAGAAAAATAAGCACAGTATAAACAAGGTATTTAGTCAATTATATTGACTACTGGATCCCCAGACCTCATCTAGCGTTAAAAAAAACATTCTAGAAAAATAGTCAAATACAGTATTATTAAACATAATGTACATTATCTAAATCCCTAAGCTCCCCTTTCTCATTACAGAATTTAAGCATTATTAATTCACATTGACAGAAGCTTCAAATGCTTACATTGGAACTCCTTACAAAGATCAGAACTGTAGACCTTTGTGATGAGTGTTTGTCCATGAACTTCAAGCTGTATGTCTTAATATGGTATAAAATAGACAGAATAACTACAAATTCATCTAATATCCTTTTGTATCCCCACTCCCACCCAAATATAACCATAGAGTTGACAGGCCCAACATATTAGTGACAAAAATTGGTACCTTAGTGCTTATACAAAACCTTCTAAATCAGTCAGGCAACATTATAAAATCACTAACCATACCTGCAGTTCTCAAGACCAAAATAATGCTTTTTAAAATTATTAGCCCCTGGTAACAATTTTCCTCACTTTTAGTTCAGCCACAGTCATTCAGGTGGAAACAGACCTGAATGACACCTTCTATTACTTTGTACTTCTAGCACAATTTAAAATTAGCACTTAGCAACAACTGATCCTATTGAACCTGCACTACTCCTGCATTCTACTGTAAGATGACATATTTAGAGATTAAACCCATTTCTTTCTCCATATTTTATTTAAACTTTACTCTAAAGAGAAATTCTTATGAACAGAAGCTTGCTCAGAACTTTGTGACATTTCCATTGCTCTTTAAGTGATTACCTTATCTGACTTTTGCATTTTGGATTTTTCCTAGTGAAGCAATAAAGCATCTACATTTTTATATCATGCATGTTTGAATGTAGTTCCTCATTTCTATTAATTGGCAATAGTCCATCAATGCAACTTTAGCCAATTCCAGGCTATGGTTCTTGGTAGCTGCTTGGTAGCTTGCAGCTCTTCTAATGTTGCTGAACCAGAATATTTCCATTCAATCACATCCCATCTAGAAATGTTCAGAAAGTGGACACTATAGCTTAAGGAGGTCTGGTGAACAGAAAGAAAAGAAATCCTATAGTTAACAAATATCCTTTTTTTTTCATTCATAGTTTCTCAAATCCAGGAGAAATCAGAAAATGAATTACTAGAGCAGGAATGTCAAACTCATGTCGGCACGTCAGCGTCATTGGGACTTTTTTCCCCTTCACTAAACCAGGTGTGGGTGTGGCCAGCATGTGACACAGGAGTTTGACAGCCCTGCACTGAAGTATTTCATAGATTTCCTCACTTTTCTCTGGTTTTTTTTCTTTTTTTTTCCTTTTTGCTTCCAAAATGGGAATCTGCTTTTTTTTTTAAGTTGGAGAAAAACAGCTTCCACATGGGACAGTCATATCATCTGTATTCCACTGAAACAACACTTAAACAGGCTCTCTTCTGGCCTCAAAATAAAACTTCTGAAACCCAGGCTTTGGTGCAAATTTAGAACACCTGAAATGACAATTATGCTTGAATAATTTGCATAACATTAATTATCTGTTGTGGTGAATGTAGTCTGGATTCCCAAGAGAAAGGACTGCGTTTCAGAGGACAAAGAGGCATCTTATGCAAATTGTCTGGCAAGATTCTTATATATTTATGTTGTTGTTGTTGTTGTTATTATTATTATTATTATTTAGCATTTGTTACAATAGCTAGGAGACTACAATGTTAATCATAGTAGCAGCTTGATTGCCAATTTACTAGCTCTTTTGTGGTACATGCTCATGCGCTTCCCAAGATGTGTCACAGGACGGAGAGCTACCTTTGCACCAGAAAAGAAGACAAGTGGCTCTTCCTACAGCAGCATCTAGGCCCCCTCTTTCCACCAAAGCTGCCTTGCAAATGGGAATTGCAAACCAGGAAGTTTTTCAGAACCAGCAGGAATCTGATTCCTGCATGAAGCACCAGTTCATCTCCCAACCAAAGTGGTACCTATTTATATATTTGCATAGAACATGCTTTCAAACTGCTAGGCTAGTGACAGATGTCAGCCTGCCATGCAGTGCTGGGACTCAAACTGCTGCAGCAAAGACCAACTCCAGGGTCATTAAGCCACTGAGTCACCTCATCTCTTATGTTTATAGGTGAAGGGCAATAAAGGAAACTACTCAGAAGTAACTCTTACTCTTTGATCTTGGGGCCTGACATTATTTTATTCCTAGGAGTCAGGGGTGCTACAGGAAGGAGAATGTCAAAAAACTAAATATGGGAGGTGTAATCATACGACTGAAGTCACAACCCCTTTTATTCTAACTTAAGATTTATACATGAGTATCCCTAATTTTATCTCCACATCTAATTTGGGGTAGACTGAGGAATATAATTTAAAACAAATCTATGAGTTGTACAGTCAATTTGAAGACTGTCAAAAATATAACCAATATATTTTATTTCAATGGGATGACATAGCAATATCCTTCAACCATATTTTGAATAAAACAAAGTCATTTCAATCTAAACTACTCATACCGAATCACTGTTTTTTAAACCCACATAAAACAAAAACTACTGAATTTTCCAACTCAGAGCAAGTAGAATACCGCATCTTGTAATTAATGCAATTATATTGGTAGGTTTTCCAAGTTAATTTTGGTAATGTGTGCTGTTATTTATTAAATAACTATGCCAGGAACAGTGCATATACTGACTTTTTAAAAAGGAAGTGAGAAACCCAAATCTTTGTCAGGGAGGGGAAAAAGGATAATTCCAGAAATTGATTTCTGTAACATCTGAAAATCTAAAGCATAAACCTGGTATTTTAAACATCTATTGAGTTTTATATTTATATGGAAACAGATTAGTCTATATCTTGTTAAGTAGATTTTGACTATTTTGATAAATTTATTCTTCCTTTTATGCCCCACACTAAGGATAGGAAACCTCAATTTGACAATCGAAGTAAAAATTATAATTTTCCAATATATTGTGAAAGCCCTTTTAGAAACATCTCTTTTAGCAAATATCAGGAAAAAATGTCATACATGTTAAAATCAATTGTGTGGATTTAAAATTCAGTCTTGTAAAGAAAATGTAAATAACAAAATGTAACTAACTGAAAAAATTCATTCATCAATTGAGTGTTATGAAAAGTTTTTAAACTGCTCTTAACAATGGCACTTTCTAAGCAGTGTTTTGACCTTCTAAAGATTCATCTTGCTCTGCAAATATTTGCCTCTAAAGCCTGCTTCTGCAGGACAAAGGGACAAGAAATTACCTTAGCACAATGTGTCTGCACACTTTTAATATAACTAGACTCTGGAAAGAAGAATTTCCAAATTGTAATAATTAATCAAATGTTTATTTCAAAATAAAGACGTGAAATAAACTTTTCACACTATTGACATAATCTAATAATTTGTCATTTTAAATATATGATTAAAAGCTGGCTTTTACTGAAACCATTTAAAGGATCTGTTCTTATTTCATATAATTTTTTAATAGACTGAGTAGTCTATTAGAACAATTACTTTTTATCAGTAAAATTTTTTGTTTTGAGGAAAGAAATCTAAAATATATAGATATATCTTGGACTACCATAAATCATACTAATAATATTTTGTCTTTATATTATATCTGAATAAAGAATAATTCCTTTATAAACCTGGGGAAATTACTGGCTATTCTTTTGTTATGACTTCAGAAAGATACAACTTTTTAAGAAGCATTAATTTTATGATAATATATTACAAAGAGTATAGATCTTGGGTTAAACAAAAGCAAAACAAACAAGAACAAAAAGTGCATTTATCAGATTTATTTTGTACTCATTATTTTTGTTTGGTAATATTTTTCTATCTTATAACCATTTTGATAGATGTATTCCTATTCCAAAAACAGTGTGACAATGTTATCTTCTATCTACAGTGAAAACGGAGCAAATACCATATTGAAATTTGAGACAGAAATTTACATAATAAATCATTTCAAATAAGAGGACTTGCGTGATATGCAAATCCTCAAAATGAAAACAAAATGAAAGTGGAAAAGGACATCTATTCTTCTCTCATTAAAATTGTACTTTAAAGCAGACTTTTGCACTAAATCAATAGCCCTGACAAGTATCACATAGATATTTTGTAATAGCTCGGAGTTGCAATTTCATTGCTTAGGAAATGATAGTATTGTTGAACCATGGATGTTTTGGAGGTTGTGTTCAGTTTGTGCAAGTGGAGGATTCCATAGTGCTAAGGATTCTGATTTTGGCAACTAAGAGCAACAGGGATTGCTATAGTG